TCTCTCTCCTGCCTAGTATTTAAATAAGGTGTTATTTCTCCATAATCTGCATTCTTCTAATGTAAAAAGAAAAAAAGAGTCATGGAACCATTGGCTATTTAATATGACAGCACTGCTTTCTCTAACATTATTTTCCACAGTAAATATGTGCACAGTGTCATTTTCACAAGGAAACGGCTTGCTACAAGAGCATAACCAGCCTGGAGCTTTGCTCTATCTACCTCTGCATTCTGTGAGTGCCCGATACCTCTGGTACCGGTTTCCAGTGGTAGGATCATATTGGTTTATTTAACCCCAGGGCTGAAAAAACTGTAAGTACTGGAAACCTGTGTTTCACATGTTCTGTTCTCTAAAGCAGAAATGCCAAGTGTGATTCAGAGCTTAAGTTCACATATTTTAATAGTTTGTTTCTTATTTTGATATTCCACAAACCTGTAAGACTGACAGTCACGGCAACCAATATTTCACATTTCAGTTACAGCAGCTGTACTCTGCAAACTACTTAAATTCATGCCCAATCAACTATAGCCTGCAGCAAAACAGAACATGCTTAATTTGTAGACAGAAATTCCTGAAAGATTTAGCAACAACCTAAGTCATAAATGTGCTTTATAGACTCAGCTTAAAGCACTGTTGTTCAGATAGTATTGGAGCTTGAAAGAATCACCTACTTGCAGAGATAGAAAGGACTGAGGAAAGCTGGCCTTGGAGCAAAGAATGCATTACTTGCCTTGAACCTAAATCAGTCAGAGCATAAACGAGAGAGAGGCAGCTCTAAAGACCAAAAGTAGGAGGGAATGGAGGCTGGGGCCAGCTGTCTGTGGCAGATAGGACAGACCTCTGTTGAGCAGATAAAACGAGCCCTGCATAGCACCCAAGAGCTCAGGGGCTCAGCTGCCAGGGCTCAGGGCCAGTTTAGTGATAGTGCAGCTGGTAGCCTTGAGTGGGAGGGCTGAAGGAGACCTGAACAGTGACTGCCCGGCTCTGCATAGAGCTGCCCTTATGCTGGGGGATTGCTCCTGGTCCCTGCTCACAGTGTGCTAAAACTGTCTCACAGTCCACCCCCAGACCCCCGGAGCTGGTAGAGAAAAAGGCCTTAGTATCATCCAGGACAAATCCTGATGTGTGACATGCATAAAATCTAATCCAACCTCACTTACACACAGCTTTTCTAATCTCAGGTAGGCAGAGCATTAACTTGCCATACCTTTTAGCAGCCGATAGGCACTTTTTGAAGTGGCGTGGCAAGAAGGAACTGCTCTTCATCCTTACTGGTGTATTGTACTAGTATTGAACATCAGAAGGGATTCCCTTGCCCTCTTCCTTTTAAAAACCAGCTGGTGAGTGGGCTCAAAGCCTTCCTTCAGTCTGCTGCACAACTGCCAAATGGCAGCAGCAATCAGCTGCTGTGCAACACATGGAGCTGAATTACTTTTTCAGCTTGTCTCAACACATCCATACCTGTTCTGCACTAGGAGGCCAGCAATTCCCCCACTGCCAAGTTGGACTTTTTTGCTTGTCTTTGCTTTATGGATTCATTTTCCTGTACATTAGAACAACTTAGAATTTCTGTCCTCATTCTTTCAGAGTCAAACCCCAATATACTTGATACTTGTCCCTTAAATTGTCAGAGCTAGAAAATGCTGCTACTGTCAGTCTGTGGTCTTCAGGACTTTCTCTAAGATCTTAACCTCACAAATAATTTGGTTAATCAAACTTCATGTCTCATCTGAAACTAATCAGGTTCATTTGTTTGTTTGAAATCAGTTCAGTGTAAACAAGCTCTGAAAACTGTGTTGCACTGAACTTGGAACAGGTTGCCCAGAGAGGCTGTGGATGCTCTCACCCTGGAGACATTCAAGGCCAGGCTGGATGGGGCTTTGTGCAACCTGGTCTAGAGGGAGGTGCCCCTGTCCATGATGGGGGTGGGGAGGGGGGGGGTGAGGGGGTAGGAACTAGGTGAGCTTATAGGTCTCTTCTAACCCAAACCATTCTGTGATTCTAATTTCTCCCAGACGCTGAAGGCAATGTGTCTACCACCAGTGAAGTTTATTATGGAGTTGCAGACTGCTTATAAACAAGTATTTGTAGATGAAAACACAGGGAAGTTTTTGCCAAGTACTTCTTGACACCAATAGCTTATGCTCAGTTCTGCATAATGCCAACCTCTCGTATGCATAGACATGAGCTTTTCTATGCCCACTGATGACTACCAGAGCCCAACTGAGCTGTGCTTATAACCCTTCACACTTAAGCGCTGCTGTCCAGATTTCACACTTCTGCACAAGGCAGCTTCCTTCCACAGAGCAGGAGACAAGCAAACATTTCCCCATGGTGCCTGCACATACTCACTGTTCAGACAGAGACATCACCCATTCTCCTTCTGCTGACTGTGGTTTTTCTAATGAAGCTGGCACATCCCCTGCAGCTGCAGCAGCGACTTGTGCACTCCAGTCCTACTTACAATTAACAGAGCCCTCCCTATCTGCTCCGAGCTGAGGCCCGCTCCCCAGAACTGCTGCCTGCCTCACTGGCCAGACGGTGCATGGCTGGAAGCCGCCTGCAAGATTTATTTCTGTGTCTGGGAGAAGTATCTCACTGTGCTGTCCCAGTCACAATCTGTGCTTTTTAATAAGATCTCAGCCCTCCTTCCCTAGCTGCAAATCTGGCTCTCCTGCCTCAGATCAGTCACACACATTTCTCTTTCCCTTTGTGTTCTTTGCTTCTTTGTTTCCACTCACTGCAATTTCCTAAAATGCTCTTCTCCTGAGTTCAATCAAAGCTGTGGAATAAAACAGAAATCTGTTTCACCCAGCGTGTGATTTGGAATTGACATTTAACTTCCCATTTAACAAATTAATAAAAACAACTCTGTGATTTGCAGAAGAGCTCCAGCCTTCAAAGAATGAGCAGTGAGATCAAGTGCCTGAAATGAAGACATGACAGCCTGATAACTGGCTGTGTAATCTGCACAGAGCCAAACATTTTCTTGCCCAGAGCAGAAGACCAACAATGAGCAACAGAACTGCCTTTGGATGGGGGATCTCTGCGGGTCTTCTAGATGCGGCACATTTCACAAGAGTCTAAAAAATCTTGGTGTATATATTGGGACAGAGCATATTAATACATATGAAAATGAAAACAAAATAATCTGCTTCTTTTTCTATTAGCAGTTTGATAGCAAAAGTGATATTTCTGCAATGAACAAGAAATAATCAAAAATTAATGTAGAACCACAAGAGCTATGTGCTCCTGCTCTCACTGCATTGCCTTTGGAGGTACACCCAATAGAAAACCAGCAGGCTACGCTCACAAGGCATCCTGAGCTTAGTGGTCTGAAGAATGCAAACAATTTTGTAGACCCACTAACAAACCTGAATCAACTTTTAATGTGTTGTTATCTTTGAGAATGAAAAACCTGCAGTGAAGATCTGGTTGCTCTTATTTCACGTTCACGATCGTTCTGTGCAAATTACACAGACATAATGTCTTCACCCAAAATTACTTTTCACTAAATTTTTTTCTGCTGCTCTCCCATTTTCTCTTTTCTCAAACCATATTTTATTCCAAGATCATAGACGCTCAGTCCGCTTAAGTGTGTAATGAGGACACTGAGATTAGTGTAATTAAAATCCTTCTAAGTAAAATGATTCCATATTCAATTAATAGAAGCATACTCAAAACTCTCTCTTGATTCTGAATCTATTGACAGAGGCAGCTGCTACTTCCAGTGGTCTTTTGTTTGCATTGACTCTTCCAGTCAGCAGTATTCCATCAATAAATGCATGCGCTGTCATGCTCTGATTAAATAATGAAACTAAATTATCTGAATTCTATCCCAAACCTTCTGTGCAATCCAATTTAAATTTTATGTTCCATAGTCTGAACTTCGGACAGCTACAATTAAGGCAAATGACCGTCAAAATTACATCACTGCTTTTAGGCAGGAAAAAAAGAATCCATTTTATTTACATATCGCAACAAATCCCTTTAGACTGACCTACAGTTTGTTTTGTCAGCTGCAAACACATTTAGAGGGAGCTCAGTTAGTCAAAGCAGGCAGCACCCTGCAAGATGCAACCACTTGATTTTGCTCTATTTGTCTGCTAATTAGCATACTGGAGACAGAAACTCAGCTGGGATTTCCATCTATCATCAGAGAAATCATCACACAAACAACTGAAATCATGCTGCTTTCAAAAGGTACACAGAACAATAATTGAAAATACTGAAAAATAGCTTACAGCATGAAGAAATACATTACAGCAGTAGAATGGGAAGAGGTATGGGCAGTGTTTTTCAATAGAAGGAGTGGGAAGCATTTTTGTTGTACAGTTTGCACACTTTATCACGTCAGGTTTACTCACTTTGGCTCAGTTGTCTCTTCTCACGAATACTTTTCTTATCCACTCCACACAAAAATGGTATGTATAGATAGCATAACAAACTGTACATCAAATTTAAATAGAAACTGTACTATTGAGCTGTTGACAAAAAAAAAAAAAAGCAGTAGTTCCCAGAGTGCCCTTCAGGACTTCAAATAGATGGGAAAAAAGCACTGATATGTGCTTAGCACAGTGTCTGCTTTTCAGCATTCATCATCAATTTAAAAACAAGATAATTTTTTTCAAACTTTGAAACATATAGAAACAGCACCTGGAGAAAACGTAACATATAAGCAAACCTCATGAAACATTTCAAAGCCTTTGGGTTCGCTCTTGCGCTATTGGTGCTATGCATGTACTCCAAGGATGCTGCCAGCTGTCGGAGATACCCGATATGCAGCATGCTGCTCTCTACATACTTGGTATACGTGGCCTGAAATAGGGGTGAAGGAAAGCAGGGAAGAAGCACAGTGGGAACAGGGAGGGATCAGGTTTTAAGCTTTCAGCTTAGGAGAACTTGTTTACAAACCAAAATTGTACCATTTTGTTCCATAGAAATTAGAAGAGTGACATTATCTTGTGTCACCCCTGGCACATCAATAAAAAAATGCTTACCTTGTAACAGCTTGATCTCTGTTAGGACTGCAGGACAAGCTGCAGCCCTTGGTCCTTCTATAAATGGTGCACGTGGGGAGCTGTGCAACGTGACTGTCCTGGAAAAGAAATCGTAACCCTATCTCGCATTCCTCTCATGCTGGTGTAAGTCCATGCTCATCAAACCTCAACATGGGTATGATCTGCCAGGGCTGAGACTGCTCCTGCAGATAACAGAGAAAGACAAAACAATCACAGAGGATGTGTCATGAACACATAGCAAAAATCATTCTAACTGACTAAAGTCTTCATGGCAAAAACATGAAGCAAGCCAATACTTGCAATAAAAGCAGAAAGCTCTCAGCTCAGAAGCAGTCACGAATCTTGTTCTAATTCAGTAAGTGCTCAAAAGCTATCAGGGAATTTAATGGTATGTTTTTAATGTGTTAGTGACTGAAAATGATGATACAAATGAAGCCACTAAGCAAGAAAGTTCATTTCAGGATAACATGCAAGAGGAGCTGGAAAAAGTCAGGGCTCTGTTATCTTATTAAAGTAGCATGGCATTCATCTCTACCTGATGCACTGTGCTTTTCTAGCACACGGCCTTACAGATGATAGGCAGAAATTTCATTTTTCAATAGTAGAGATGTTCACAGATTTAAACACAGCTGTGAAAAATCTGTGTATTAAAGATATACTTTTTCAAAAGCTGTAAAAAGAAAAATGTCATTAACTAGAAACATAGAACTATCTGTATTTTCTCCAGAGCTCAAGGTTTGTCACTCAGGATGTGTCCCTGTCACATTTTCCTTCACTCAAGGACATTTTTACTAAGAGGAACGTGAAATGATAGATAGAAAATACTTCTTTATAGGTTTTTATTTTTATTTTTTTTTAATCTTTCAACCACAACTGAATGAAAGATAGTAGTCAGTATTTCATTTCTGCTGATCTGAACAATATCAGATGAAGAGAGGCACAGAAAAGGATGTGAACAGAATCCACCCTTGGCTGTGCAGCCCTCCTCGCCGTGAATCCCACCCATGCACATCACAGCTCACAGCAGCAGCATAGCTGTGAAAATCCCTCTCCTCCACCATTTATAAAGTGGCTGTGTCAATCTCTAAATGCATTTGTAAAGGAAACATTCCCATCAGTGGTAGCGTCTGACTGTTACAGAGAGGAATTTGATTCAAAGACAGTGTCTGCTCCATCAATGCTTGCTCCCCAGGCAGCCCCCAGGCTGAGCTGCAAAGTGTGACTGTGCAGTGACGCACAGCACTTGTTTGAAGACTCCTCTGTTGCCCTTGCAAACATAAAACATCACCTTCCCCCCCCCAACTTTTCCATTCCAAGTGCCAAAAACCCATGAGGATGGTGTTTCTGTAACCTGATGCTGTGAGTGAGCACTGCCCACAAGTGTACATAGGAGATGAGGTGATATTGGGATAGCAATGGAGAATGGGGGGAGGGCCAGGAGAGCCAAATTTAATGTAGCCTCACTTGCACCCATGTCTGTGACAGTAAATGAGGTACATCTTCCAGATGCATACAGTTTTGTCTTCCAGGGAACTTGTTGCTTTGATCCAACAAAGGAACAGGGATGAAAGCAATATGCATGCAGTGCTCATGGTCAGGCACTTGCCCAGGAATGAACCAGAATGCAGCCTATGGCAGCTCCCATCCAAACCCATAGAAAAAATGGTGTTGTCTTCTGCCAGGTGACAGACAAGGGAGGACAGCACACTAACGGAAGCCAAGGCTGGAAAAAATAAAGAAAAAAATCAAAGCAAGATAAACACTGTAGTGGCCAAATTAATTACTCATGGGAAATGATATATTCTGTGCAACTGCATGTGGTTCAACTGTACTGAGCTCCTCCTCACAGTAACACAGCAGAGTAAAAGGCACAGTACAAGTTTGTGATGGAACAAAGACAAACACCCATCACAGAAGCAATCCTGAAAACCAATTATTTAACCACACGGGTTTTATTAACCTTTTATGAAACAATATTAGCTATACATGACACTAAATAAGTGAAGAATTCCTTTACAATTTGAAAGAAATTCTGATGTAGAGCTATTAAAAAAAGACACATTGCTTTTCTCTGAAAAGTCCCTCTGCCATTATGCCAACCACATTTTTGTTTCTTCACCAGGGGAAAAAGAGAAGAACCACCTGTGAGTGTAACACAAGGAACAGACATGCATTCTCATAAACCTCACTTCAGATTCAATGTAACTGTTCAGTCTTACTGACAAAAAATTTAACTCACAATAGCAACAAAGCTGAAGAGTCATACTGACTTTAATATAACTGTTTTTAATACTTTCCAGCAGATTGTACATATTCAGAGCAAGAAGAAGAAAAAACAAGTGCTATGCTTCAGTTACCAAGCTTAAGTATAGCTGCAGGCTTATCTGTAGATATATAAGTAGATATTTCAATTATTCTGCAACAGCAGAGGCAAGAAAAAAAAATGGAAATCTGGTAATATCTTCCAAATATTAGATTCTTTTCCAGAGCAATTTGAATCCTGTAAGGGCTCCCTGCATGTTCTCTAGTGCTCACTTGAGCAGCAGCAGTCCCTTACTGAGGACTCAATGCAGTGAGCTCTCCCCTATTCCAGGATCCTCCACAGAGTGCTGCAAAATTGAAGCACAAAGCTCAGGAAAGAAATACTTCAGCAGCAAACCACTTCTCTGCATAATTAAACTGCCTAAATCTTACATGCGTTAAAACTCAGTTTTCCACGAAATGTCTTTCTTCCCACTAATGTTAAATTTCAAAAACTTCTGTGAATATATGACTGTACAATTAACAAATGTACAGTTAGAAGAGTGGTGTGAATAGAACGGCATTTTACAGGCTTTTGGTGGAAAGATCATTGTGGTAGAAAGAGACAATCAAAAATGAAAAGCTCACCCACGTCCTAAGCTTACAGTAGAAAACTCCATAAGAAGGGAGATCCAGAAAGAGACCCTTCCCAGTGGCAGTCAGCCCTTAAATGGGGTCTAGGAGAGGTGCAGCCAGGCTCCACCCCTTCTGGTCGCACAGCTGAATCGCCTTCACCTGTGCTCCATGGCTGACTCAGTGCTTGCCTCAGGTGGTCAATCAGAGGCTCAGGCCGTGATCAACAGCTCCCATCCATATGACTCAGAACTTCCCTACACAAGGACATTTAGTTTCCTAAGGCCCTGCTTCATGTATCATTCAGCCAGCATGCTGATTGCAGACGATTACTTGGAGGTGCCCCACAAAAGCCTGCTGTCTGTGGATGAGGGTGGTCACAAGCAACCCACCCACCTTATAATTCTGTGGCTTTGGTGGTTGTATTTCTTTCCGTAATCTCACTAGTTTTTCTGATAACCAGATGGTCTTTGTCTTACAAACAACTGGTTGCCACATGAGGAGCTGCAGACAAAGCTAGGTATGGAAGGTTATTGCTAAATGTGGTAAAAGTCTTAAAACTAGGATAGGAGCCAAGTCAATCTGCATATGAGAAGCCACAGCTGGATTGCTGGGTTTTGAATAAATGAGAATTAGCTTAATTCACTGCAATTTTTTTCTTGCTCAGAAGTAACAGATTTAAGAGCCCTACTCAATGTAAAAAACAAAAACACAAAAGCGCTGTACATCCCACAAATACTTCACTGCATGGTATCAGGACCTGCATGTACAGACAGGTTCCAGCCTCCTCCCCTATGTTCTGGCTGCTGCTCCTAGAGGTCACTTTGATACGGTGGAATTGGGATCAGGCTGCTTTGAAGAGCAAAGCGCGACAAAGAGCCACAAACTGTGCTATCTTCCCCCAGGCCCGGGCCCTTGCTATCAGTCCTTGCCCGAGTCACCTCGCAGATATGCCGGTTCCTGGTTGTATGCTTTGCTGATCCCATCCCTGCCTTGCTGATTTGGCATGCCAACTTGAAGGCTTCATCCCTTCAGATGTGCCTGGAGATCACCAGACTCTGCCCCGCCTGGTCTCTGCCATCAGAACTGCTCCGTGGCTGTGGACATGCTGGGGCTGCAGCTTGTATCAACTCTTGCTGATTGTTTATAGAGACCAAACACTGGATGTCAGCACAGTGAGTTGGTGGTTGGTGTCCTTCAACAGTGACAATGGTGGGTCACTTGTACAAGTGCAGATGAGCATGGAATGTGGGCTCTTGTTCATCACTGACGAAAATGCATAGCTAATGATGGTGAGTATGCTGAAAAATAGTGTTTTGCAGCTGAGAATTTGTGCTATCAAGAAGTGTTGCTGGGCACTTTCTATCTTTTGTAGTTTCCGTGGAAATAAATACGAGGCATTACTTTCAGAGCAACCTATGTATATTTGGCCTGAGACAATTCCTCTTCATTCAGTGCAACAGAAGCCAATGGGTTGGACACCTTTCATCTACCCTCTACCAATTTTGTTTAAACATTGGCTAAAAGATATTGAAGCTAAAGAATGACACATACAGTAGGAAGCCAGATTGAAAGCATCACCTGTGTTCTGCTAATCTATTAGATTTTAGATGTGACTGTAAGTTGTCTACGCAAGTAGAAAGAAGGAGAAATGTAAGAAGTTTATTCACTAAGTAGGAAGAGACTACACTAAGAGAAGTAGGCAGCCTTATGTTCTTACCCATGCCACTGGCAGTACCAGTACTGAAGCAAACTCCTTGTGCACACACAGCAAAGAACACTGTTTCTTTGCTCTATCTAAATGGTCTAAATCCTTCATGTGCAGAGTCAGCACTGCAGTACCATGTATTCCCCTGTCCAGAAAGGCAAGCACAGTCCCACTGTTTAGAAGAACAGCAGTAAAGAAGTAACTGACATCTTAGAATTCACTAATTATACAGTCAGGAAATAAATAGCCAAGTAAGTAAGAAACAAACTGATGAGCTGACATAGAACTAATTCCTCCTAACAAATTCTTTAGGATCACAGAATAGAGGATGTCATAGCTCTGGTTCTAGCTCATGCAGGTGATTCTGTAGACTTGGCTGGATGCTCATCCTCTTATTCCTTTGGTGCATCCTGCACCAGAAGGAGTAATACAAAGCATACGGTTACAGGTGGACATGATAATACGTGTCCAAGTTGCTGCAGGTAATAAATACATAGAGTGATAAAAAATTTCTTATTTATCATCCACTGGAATGGATGGCTCGTTTCTCCTTCAGACACTACTGGGAGGTAATGTAAACTATGATTCTCCCATATAATGGGTTTTTGTTTTCTCACAGATTTCTTGCACATTGCAGATCCTTGGTAGTTCAAAACTAACATGATAACTTTTCTCATTTTTGCTATTTCCATTGGATGGTTTTCTCAAATCCTATTAGACTGGTATTTCTATTCTAACATTTTCCTCCTGCTTTTAAAATCTCCCTCAGCTTTGCTGCATCATGTCTCTGTTTGTTTTTTCAAGGAAATTTGAAGTGAAAGTTTTCCCAGATTTTCCTTTCAGTTTAGATACCTCCAACCTTTTTTTCCAAAGCTTTATTGTAGTGTTCAGTCCTTCATTAGCTAGAGGATACCGTGCTGATTGTTGTGTGTGTACAATGTCTCCTCTTTTCCCCAGGAAAAATATTGAAATTGTAAAGATATGAATTGTCATATGTTACTGGACATTAGTTTTCTGAGCTTCTTTCTCTGCTGAAAACAGTAAATAGGAAGTCATGACCAAAGTAAACAGACTCAATAGAGGCTACTTTTATTTCTGGCCATTCACTGAAAAATCTACTAGCTTGACACCGCCGCATTAGTAAACGGCAAGTGAGCAGCAAGGTCCATAATGCTGATTGCAAGCTTTTTCTACATTTACTTAAATAAAACGATAGGATGAGGTAGGCCAGAAAACTGACTTTTGTTTTGTCAAGTAACAGAAACTTTCAGAGTAGCCTGAGCATTCACTCTGTCTACTGATGGAGAACTCATAATCACTGTTATGACAACCCACTGATGTGTGTCATGAGCAACGTGTATTGATTTTGCTTATAATTCTTCCAGAATAACAGATCTGTGAGTTGTTCCCTTGTCTTGCAGAGAAAGTTCATTCTAGTTCAAAGTAGAACAGAGATGAATTAGATTTGTTATGATTATTAGTCTATTTTGCTGTCAGGACGCCATGTAATTTCTGTTGAACAAGACAAACTAAACAAGTAGATTTATATTATGTTTCTGAAACTGCAGCAAATACGTATCTGATTTCTTCATCACTTTCCATAGTAGAAGGCAGTAATCATGAGTATTTGGAGTATTTGGAGAAAATAAACATGAGGAAAACAAGCAGTCAAGTGTACCATTTTCTTGTTCTTTTTTGTTTTCTATGTCACATGTGAAAGAAAAAATTACTTTGCTTCTCTGATTCTTTTTGTTGTTAACTGTACATGGACGGGCAAAGGAAATTGATCCTTATGAAGCTGAATTTATAGCCACAAGACAGTGTTTGCTTTATCCTATTACTCCTATACAAGCCAGTACTTCTTTTCCAAGGATCGAATACTTTTATAGCTTCTGTAATTGTTCTTCCAGAGCCTATAATAGTCTCAGAGTTGACCTCATATATTTGGGCAAACTTGGCCTCTAGACCCTATCCTAGTGTGTTTCTATCACATTCAGTAACAATAAAATAGCACAACACTATAAATTCTGATATCTCCTACTTATGGTTTTCACCAATTCAGAATGAAGATGTGCAACATTTATTCAAGACACGTTTAGATTTCATACTTCAAACAGTTTTACAGTTGAAATGTATTTTTCAATAAAGTTTTCATAATGTAATGTAAGAATTAAGAAAGATTAAAATACTTGCAGTGGTCTTCATGGTAGGGCAGGCATAATTATAGCAGCTTATTCTGCACCTGGTTCAGTTCCAGTGGAGAAAGACTATGTTCTGTTTATCTGAAGTGGCATTTGAGAAAGTTAAATTTCAGTTCTGCTAAACTGATATATTGTATTACGGCCGGTAAAGCTATTCTCCTTATTTAATGACTCACCAGCCGGCACTGGATTCCAGGCTGCATCCTGAAAACACCAACCACTCATTCCTTCAGAAGCATTAGGGTCAGTTTCAAACATATGGCACATGTTTCAAACACAAAATTATCTGATGAAGATCATGTGAGGGTTGTGAGGATTCTGTTAATTTACAAAACACAGACTGTAAATCAAGATTTAAAAACATCTCTGCACACTGAGTGCTTGCATTAATTCTGTGTTTAGATGTGCTTGGCTAGCAATCATTGCAGTTTTATTTCACTTCATAAGATCTAGGCAAAGGCAATATTTTCTTTCTTCCTTGTCAAAAATTGTGGAAATATCCACTCAGGAGATGTGACTTATTTGATAGAAACGTTGTGAAGCAGATCTTTAAGCCCTGGTGATGCCTTATTTCTCCTGAAATTGACAGCCAACTCCTATTTTATTGCCTGGTTATCACGCTAGGTCAAATTCTAACCCTGAATAAAAGGTTTTGCGCAGCTGTAACTACTCTCTGAACTACCTCATGCAAGTGATCAATCTTGAATCAATGTTATGGGAGTGCTTTACAGTGTGGAAGCATTTTTACTTGTTCAGTGCAGCCGATACAAATTTACCCGAGGTAGAAGTAGAGATGTCAGGGAATCCAGCAGTTTGTGTCAAACATCACATTTGCATGCAGGCAACCTTGCATGGAATGTGTTCCTCAGGTGGTTTACAAGATACAACCTTGACTGAATAAGCCACAACCTTCCAAAGTGCAGATTCAAACAGCACGGAGGCTCTGGAGCAAATATCCGGCATTGCTTCTGTACTCTCTCAGCCACCTTCGGAGTGGAGCAGAAATATTAACCGCATATCTCCTTCCGAGCACTCCGTCCTCGAGATTCCTCTGCCCAGCAAGCCCCCAGCTCTCTCCATACTGCGTCGGCAGCACAGGGCCCTGCGGCAGGAGGCACTCTGGAGCCGCAGCTGAACCACATCTGACTGAGCTTTTCCATCCGGCCATCCGAAGGGCCCCCTCTTCTGTCCGGAGCCCAAACTGCAACGCCCCACCGCTGGACAAGTTGCATTTGCTAACTAAAATTGCAGCGCAGGTCCTCAGCTGGAAAATGAGCCATGCCGTGATCCATTCCACTTCGTGATGGATTATAGAACTCGTCTACATCCGCTACTGAAGACAATGGATGTAAAGCAAAAAAATAAAATAATACACGGAAAAGCAGGACAACTTAAGATGGTTAAGAGTGTTGAAAAGAGGCAAACTCTGTTTTTCAGTGGAAACATAGGCAGTTGAGTTATTCGGATTGGGAAGAACATCGTTCACCACACAGTTCCATGAAGAGCTGTTCTCGTTGAGGAGGTGTTGGAGACTGACTTGTTCTCTGCATGAAATTTCATACCTTCTGTTAGAGCACTTTAAGACCAGGACTGCTACCATCGTCTGTCCCAGGAGGTCATCCTGCCCAGGTCCATCAGCCACAGAAAGCTTTAAGGATGCAGCGTGTGCCCAATTCATGCCTAACCCCGTACGCAGATATTCATCGAACTCAAACAAAACCTTTGACTTAAACTATTTCATTTTCAGTGAATACCCTTCCTTTTTAAGTGGCTATCCTGAGGAAACAAGTTTTCTGCAGCTATCCTGTATCTAAGTGATAAGCCTCCTTACACAGATGGAAACAGCTGGCCAGAGATCTCAAACTCAGTAAGTTTTACAAGTTTTCTAATAATTGCTGCTAGACAGAAGAGCCTAACATAAAGGGTGCCTCCATTTCTTTAGCCAGGAAAGGAGATTCCATTAGGTCAACTAACAGATCAACTTATTTCATCTCTCCCTTGCAGCTCATAGTGTTGTACAGCCATATTATTTGGATTGACTTTGGCAGCAGGTAACTACAACACTGTCTATCCATCTGTTGTGTCAATTACTATAATTTCTCCCTTGGTGTGTTTTTATACCACGTTTTGAGATTTTTTTCGTCAATAAATATGGCAATAACTACCAAGGAATACAGATCTTCACCCCTGTGAGGAGAGAAAATAAAGCTAAAATTATATGAGCAAAAACGCTTATTAAACTTACAAATGTCTCTTTTAAAGTTAGGTGTTCTATTGGTTGCTTGAGTGCTCTAAAAGAGCTGGTCAAAGCAAAAATACCAGTCAGTGTTTACCAACTTTAGCACTGTTTTACTATTAGAACAGAAATAACCAGGGAACATCCATTTTGTTGTGTTGTTGTATTCGTTTTTACATATTAGGGCATGTCATGTTCCTATGATTATTTTTCATGAAAAGCAAGGGTTTACTATCACCTTCCTGTCATATGTAATGCACCAAAAAGGCCATGTAAAATAGTTTTACAGGCTTTGTAATGTTTAATACCATATCTGTATGTATGAAGAGGCACTTAAATGCTTAACGGCACTGACACACAAATGACTAATCCAAGTACTCACATGATTTCTACCATATTTCATTGCTGTGTCCTGCATAATTTCAGACCAGAACTTACTTGGAGGAGGTATGTAAAACCAAGTATACCTCTTTCTATCTTGAAGCTTTTCTTTTTCTTATAACCACCTAATTATGTGATTACAGTCAGAATTCTCAGGAGGATAAAAAAGTGGCTCCTGTGTTTTCCACAACAACACAAATGAAAAAAATTCTATTAAATCATTTTTCTTTACGTATAATCCACCTTCAAAGTAGAAGATGAAAAGTAAGTATTTAAAAATGAAGCTGAAATTATAATTGCGCCTTTATGCTTATAAAAGAAATTTCTAAGACATGGTAAGGTTAATTTTAAATATTAAAGATGGGAATTGGGAAAAATGTGTACTGTATTTAAAGAATGAGCAAAGTGTCCTTGCTGTCAGAGCTTAGGCAGCCCAGCCTCCCCTGCCAACATGAGTCGTTAGAACTGAGGAGCTGGAATGAACACGTGATGCTGCACATAACTGCAGGAATGAATGCCATCTGCTAGATGCTGGGGAGCTGGAGCAGGAGATGGATGTTCCTCCCCTTGTGAACTTGCTCCTGTGTTCACTGGGTACTGAGCTCATATGTACGTGCACATACCTCAAGAGTACACATACAAAGAGGTGGAGAAACCAGCCAACACTGGTGAAAGATGAAATAGGTGGGGACTGCCAGGCAGCCTCAGGCTGATGGGGCCCAGAAGCTTTATGCAGAGCACTGCTAGCAGAAAAGAACTCACAGCAATGGCCAGCCTGTGTCTTCCAGGTGGACATTACATGGAGCTCATCTCAGCTAAGCACAGAAAGTCACAAGATACAGGGGTCCTGCTGGCACCTGCAGAGCAGCACAGGGCAGCACCAGGGTACGAAACAGAGCTTTTGCTGGTTGAAGTGCCCCAGCAGCAAAAGAATGGGTTGGAGGGTGATCATACTCTTTGTATCTAAGATGTTCCAACTGTTCCTAAACTAACCAGGCTTCTGGTTAATGCTTCCAGTTCTTAGCAGAGCCCTGAAGTAGAAGCATTAAGAACGAGAAGCTCACTTGTGGTTAAATTCAGGAAGACCTTCTGAAGGAGGTTTGGGCCTTATTCTGATTTCAAAAATAGACTCAAAATGATTATTTTGAAATCAGATTCAGCGTTCTGGTTCTGCTTTCTGGCAGGAACAGCATTCTAGGTCATTGACCCTGAGAGTGACTGGGCTCTAGGAAAATATGGTTGTCCTTAAGGAATAGATTAATAAATTGGAATTAAATGAGGCAGTGTGAATGCTACATAACACTACTGGGGAGTAACAAGAGGAAGCTTTGTGGTATGCTGAGAGCTGGAAATATCAGAAGAAAAAAAGCACTTAAGTCAGTCACAGAAGACTGTCAGAAAATTGTCAGCTACTGAAACTGAGACAAAATGTGCACAGCTGTGAAAAAGGCAAGTATCGTGCAGAATGCAAGAAGGAGGTGTTTCTAGCAAAGATACCTGAATATTAATGGTTTTTTTAAATGCTGAATTTTCATCTCAAACACAGCGTACACTCTGTACACTTCAGGAAAGATTAATTCAAATAGAAACATGGCTACTCAGATGATAAAGAGAACAGAGCCTGTCCTTGAGTGTTTAGTCTTCAAAAAGGAAGGGTGTGAGAGAAAATGACTACACAAAACTCAGGCATTAAATGATGTTTTGGAGGAAGAGGCATAACCTGAAAGACATTTTTCAATAAGAATTGTAAAGTAGTGTAAACGGATAGCAGATACATTTTTCAATGGGAGTAATGGTAATGTTAAAAAAAAAAAAAACCAACAAAAACCCTAAATTATTTCAAGAGAAGACTAATACATTTCTAAATTAAAGGATAGTATATGAGATTACCTGCATTAGGAAAAGAGTAGCATCACCGTCCCAGGAAGCCCTAGATGGGTCTATGCTCATGTCAATAGCATCTGACTGAAAAAGAGCAGCTCTGATTGGTATAATTTTATTGTAAAAACTTCAGCAGAAGGAAAAAAAGGAAAAAAAGAAGGAAAAAGCAGATTTTTGGAAGTCCAGAGACCACCATTATCAGCTATTTTTTTACTGCAAATTTTAAGGGAAATCTCTTTGGTGTCAGGCTTGAGTCACTGTGATATATTTTCTTCTAAACTGGAGGACAGAGCCACCAACATTTCTATTTTCTTAACATTCCCCTTTCCTTGCACTTTTGGTTCTTATTTACTTACTTCCTGGATATGCCACTTTCAGTTAAAGGTTTACCAGTGCAGGGTTCTCTGAGGTTCTTTTTTCTCTTTATAATTTTTCTGACTTCAAAAATGCTTGGATAAATTATTTCATTTCAGATATATCACTATGAGCATGGCTTAGTGGAACCATATACTCTCCTCCAAATAAATGGAGAATACATGCAGAATTTTAAAGTAAAAGATTCAAAGGTATTGCCTTTACTACAAGAGCTCTAACTCCTCCAGGGATAACTTCATAATATTTGCAGTCCCAGTATCAGTACCACAGAAAGGAAAGCCATAGCAGTTTCATTTTTCAAAGCCTGTCATGTACTCTAAGCAGTGATAAACCCAGGTTCAGAATATCAAAAGACAAACACAGTGTTCCCCTTCATTAAACAAGAATTTGATTTTAAAACATGCTTACTGTAAGCATTGGCTGCCAACGATAAATATAGTCTTTTCTTGATCAAAGAGTCTCTGTGAGATACAAAATCACTGACGACAGTTGTCACCACAGCACTGGGTATGTGGATCTGAGCAGGTGCAGCCAAGTATAGTACGCAGCAGCAGGAGCAGACCAGCTTATAACGAGAATTGTTGGCAAGAAAAATTAACCCATGTGAGCTCTGTGCTGCTGCCACCTGGATACTTGTAGTACCTGTGCATATACACATATACGTAACTGATTTATGCATGTGCTGTACTGCAGTGTATAGCATAAATAGATTTGCAGATTTGTAAGTAGCAAAGATGGTGATGCTGCAAATGACTCACTGGATTTCAGACAAGCAGCTGGAATGCTGACTATGCGCAACAGCTGAAGATTAGTCACCCTGCACCCCCACGGCAGGACAATGCACAGCCTGAACAGGAAAATCTGAAAGATTTTAAGGTGAGATACAACTGCCAAGGTCTGGCTGTCATTCTGCTATTTTCAATTGTCTTTGAAACAGGGCTAGAAATGGCCCATGTAAAGGATGACAGCCACTCTGCTGATATAAGCTGGCTTGTCATCCGAGTTGGTAGTTAACATAGCAGTTACTGCTCTGCTGATGACCTGTAGATGTCTGTGATCCTGTTTTTTTTTTTAATCTAACATGCCTGATAAACAACAGCCAATGACACATGGAAAAAAAAGTAGAACATTTAAAAAAAAAAATGCTTTATTTTCTGGCATTTAAGTTCTGTAATGCCAGGACTGAGACTGTGATGCCTGAATTTCCTCTTGAGCATATTTATACAGTCTCTAATTAAATGATCACATAGCCTGCACAATGCCTAATGCCTGGGATGAGTACGGCATTTGAGCCTGTTCTCTGTAGAATCTTTGCTCATTTTTGCCACTGAGAAAGAAAGCTGCACCATAAATCTGTCTGAAGTCTACAGGAAGAGAAAGGAGTCTCAAGACATAGAATTACACACTGCTGCCCTGATCAACATTGCTTCCAAAGCTGCTCCCAGTCACCTTCTCACTGTTAGTTTGTGCATCAGTATGGCATCTACAACACACAGGGCTGGAGCCTTGGCTCATTAGAAATATCATTTCTTCCTTTACAGTCAGCATCTGGAGGGGTTCAATCTGCAACCCTTTGTGAAGAAACGGTGTTAATATGCAGTTAAAGATGGCATCATAATGCTCATACATAAAATGGCCAAAGAAGATTGCTCTACTATAAACTGAGCAGCAGTTTGTGTCATTTTTCATGCTTAACTTCGCAATATTAATAATATTCTTCAAATAACATTTGCAAATGTGCATTATAAATACATAAAAGAGACTGAAGAATTACAAAGCTTTTATAATATCATGCTGAAGTAGAAAAAGAAAATTCAATTTGTTTCTTTGAGGATGTATCTGTTTGTATCAGAAACTGATGACAAAGGTCAGGGTTATCTAGTTACACCAAGAATTTACAAATCACATTTCCTTGGGCAAAGCAGAGATAAATGGTTGATTGCCAAAGCAGAAGGCAGCAGTAGGTTAGCTGGAATATAGTGAATGACTGACTATTTGTCGTATGACTAACTGAAGCAATTACCAAGACAGGAGATTAATAACAATTATGTTTTCAGATGTGCTACAGTTTGGCTATATTGTCCGATTTCATTTTATATGGTAGGCCAACAGCCTACAGATTTATGCTATTCTACTAGAGGACTGCTTGGAATTAATTCAGACAGACTATTGGCATTTGCTAGAAAATAACCAATTAAATACTATGTTCTGGGCTGCATTAAAAAAAGGGGTGGCCAACAGGCAGAGGGAGGCGATTGTCCTGCTCTTGCAAAGCCCATCTAGAGTATTGTGTCCAGGCCTGGGACTCCCAGTACAGGAAGGATGTGGAGCCCTTGGAGCAGGTCCAGAGGAGGGCCACCAAGATGATCAGAGGGCTGGAGCAACACTCCTATGAGGAGAAGATGAGAGGTCTTGGTTAGCTTGGAGGAGAGAAGGCTCTGGAGAGACCTCATTGTGGCTTTCCAATATTTGAAAGGAGCATATAAACAGGAGGGGGAATGACTGTTTGCAAGGGTGGACAGGGATAGGACAATGGGGAATGGGTTAGAACTAAGACAGGGGAGGTTTAGGTTAGATATTACAAGCAAGTTTTTCCACAGAGAGGGTGGTGACACACTGGAACAGGTTGCCCAAGGAGGTTGTGGAGGCAAGGCCAGGCTGGATGTGGCTCTGGGCAGCCTGGTCTGGTGGTTGGTGACCCTGCACATGGCAGGGGGTTTAAACTAGATGATCTTTGAGGTCCTTTTCAACCCAGGCCATCCTATGATTCTATATTGATTCTATGAAACATGTCTGCATAAAAGGCGGATGGTTACACCAGAAGTGCTCACCAAAACAGTGGTGATGAAACTGGAATCTTGCCTGTCTTCAGAGGTTATTTTATTTATATTTTGAGAGATAGTCACACCTGGTACAGGTAGAAACTCTAACACTATAAGTCCAAATGGTTATACTTTTTCAGTCATACCTAGAACTTCAGGTTGATGAGGAGTTCAATCATTTTTTTTCTTTGGATGGACCATACTTTGGCTATGGATCTGTGTTGGTGCTTTCCTGATATTGCAACAATGCAAGTAAATGAACAGATATCAGCAGAAATACAAGAAATCACTTCTACACTAAACCGCTCACTAAAGCTTAATGAATAATATCAGGGGAGTTTTCCAAGACCTAAAGAAGTGTTATTTTTTTTTTTTTTTTCCAGGGAACTTAGGAGAAATTAACAAATATTGGGACTAATCATTTTCAATGGAATTATATTGATATAAATGAGGTTGTAATTAGGGTAACAGACAGTAATTTATCCTTGATTTAGTAGCTCTAATTCTTATAACATGACAAACGTAAATGACATTCACATTTTAGAAGTGGAGCAAGAAAGAGCAAGCAATTTGCCTTGGCAATTGAAAAATGCTATGGTCAGGAAGTATAAAAACTCATCTGATGAAAATAATATGCAAAATATAAGCATGGATATATATTTTATATATATTATGAATATTCTGTTGTTCTATTTAGGAGAATATTATCTATTTTCACTCAACATCACATGCATTTTTAATCTTTAGTTATTGCAGTAAATCTTTACTGTAATTAGAATTAAATTTCCACTTTAATACAGATCAGACAAATTGCTCGAGGCAGGTTTTGTAACAATGGGTGAATAAGGTCATAATAATTGTTCAGGGGGTAATTATACATTATGCTTACATTTTGTTTTGTGAATTATCATTTGCTTTGTTTTGGAATCGATTTTAAAGTAAAGCGTGCATGCGTTGGTGCCAACAGATAAGAGAAGCAGTTTGTTTTAGAACTTGTGAGACAAAGAAGATGTGCATCATTCCTCTGAATCAAGGGATGCACAAGGAAGCAACACGAATGTCAATGTGAAAAGGTATTGAAAGGCCAAAAGAACAAAAGAAAGTGAAAATCCGCACAGAGGTCAAAACAGGTAAGAATAGTTGAGTGGATCAAAACCAAAGAAATGAAACTGTGAATCAAACATGATTTCAATAGGCCATTAAGAAACTAAGCAGGAGAAAGAAAGAATGAAAAATGACCAAATTAAAGTCTGTGTTTCCTTATATACTCCCTATCTGTGCCCAAGAGACCAAAAAAAAAAAAAAAATCTCATGTTAAGACAAAATGTATTTTGAATTTAGCTCATTGTCAACATGATTCATAGGAAGAACATCAGATACTAAGGGTGAATAAATAATTAAGCACAGTCTTTCAGCTGTGGATCCAGAGAAGGAAGAGGTAGTTTGCATACGATTGTATCATAGTAATGGATGAATATAGATACATTTTTTTTATTATAGTTTGCATTCAATTCTGTGATAAATAGGAGTTTTGAAACACAGCAAATTGCATACATAAAGGAGAAGAATAGAAATACTGCAGTAAGACGACTTTCATCAGAAGAAGCGCAGAGCACATTCAACGTAAAAATTCTGCTCATTTCACTAACATATTTCCATAAGCTATGGAAAAATAAATATTTATTATGCTAGATAGTAAAATTTTACTTCTTACATCACGCATAAACTAGCTTCACTCTATTGCTTCCTCACTTTCAACATGCCAGTTGACTAACCCTTCAGCTCATGGACCTACCTAGCTGTGGGTTGTAAACAGTATGCTAACAAAAGCCACATATCCCAGATTTTAAAACATGAAAACCATTCTCTATTTGTAGATGAAGTGATTTGATTTACAGTGTGATTAACTATACATACACAAATGACAGGTCAGCACAGCAGCCAAGGGATATGACTGCCTTGCTTACTGGTAAGGTGGGCTCTGAAAAGCAATAGCAGTTGCAGCAGCAGAAACATTTACTCAGGCCACTTGTCACACTGCCCACTTGTAATGCAATGGGATGCTGACATCTGCTGTAAACACTCTTTTTATTGTGTTTGGATATGTCTTTAAAAAAAAAACAAAGTTTCTCTGAAGGAGGTACCCAAGTAGACTGAGAAGAACTTGAGAATGACATTAGTGAGAATGATAAAAGACTAATTCATAGTTTGTGACCTAAATGCTCCACGTATTCTAGCTTCTTTGGGTATTCAACAGGCTTAACAGAATTTTTACACCTGCAGTTTGCTTTTCAGGTGCTTAAATTCTGCTTGGAGCAAAGTTTTTAACATCCAAGCTTTACTAAGTAATCCCTGTGAGGGATTCAAAAGGAAGCATGTGTAAGAAATGCTGAAGGAAACTGAATTGGAGATATTTTAGCCTGAAGTTTAGTCTGCACATACTGACATTATATGCAGCCTGGTGCACAATGGTAACTTCAGGTAGGGCAAAAGGAAAAACTAAAACGCCAGTGATAGCCATCAGTCTGGGACTTCTATTCAGGAAGAACAACAAAAAAAAAAAAAAAAACAGCCAACCAAAAAAAAAATATGGTAAACAGTTCTAAGCCCTGAAGAATTGGTTATCTTTGAAATTCTAAGTACAAAACCGTATGGAGACACAGAAAAGCCTTCCTCAAACCGCTGACAACACTGTGCCTAATGCAAACCAGGCTACCTCTAATTTTCTTAGCAACAAGGACACACTAATCAGAACAGGCTGCCCAGGAATGTAGTGGAGTCACACTCCCTGGAGCTGTTTAAGGGTAGATGTAGTACTTTGGGACATGGTTTAATGGGCAGTATTGGTGCTGTGTGGATGGTTGGACTAGGTGATCCTAGATGTCTTTTCCAACCTTGATGATGCAATGATTCTACGATTTCAGGTTCATATTCAACTGGGTGCCCACCAGGACCCCAGTCCTTTCCTGCTGAGCCGCTTTCCAGCCAGGCAGCCCAGCATACCCCAGTGCCTGAGTTGTTCCTCCTCAGCTGCAGGACCCTCCAATTCCCCTTCCACAGATACCTATAAGCCCATTTACGCAGCCACTTAGATCTCCAAACTATAATTCTGGGAACTGTAACAGCTGAGTGCACACCAAATCTTCCTCCACCTTCTAATAGGACCAATTGATTTGAAATAGTAAAAAAAGTGGTTGTAGAAAAAGTAGAAAAAGTATTTTAGCATAATTCTTATTCAAATCCATTCAAATAAGATTTAATCCTTGAGAAGTATCAAGGAATAATTGTTTCACAGGAAATGAAATACAGGGCATGAAGGCTTGGCAAGAGCAAACAGACAAATGTAGTGAAGGCTAAACACAGAGGTTGCTAAATTCCAACCCTACTTTTACTCATCTAGACCGAAATATCCATTCATTCTGATAAAAATAATTACTTTTATGCACAACCAATGTTTATTATAGATTTCTGATTAAAAATACATTATATAAAACTAAACTGAGAAGTAGAAGTTTTATTTAAATATTTCAGACCAAGTCCTGGTCTCAGTGAAATGAGCATTAAGACACGATTTTAATAAAATAAAAGATTTCAGCTAAGTCAGGATTTCACATTTCAAACTGTTGCAATGGACAAATTTGCTTTGATAATCACAAAAGGGGAAATCATAGAAGTACAATATGTAAAGTACATTTAGCATACAAAAGATAATGTCTTCAAAGATCAATTCACAGACATACAGGGTTAGATGAGACCTTGTGAAACCATACAGACTGAATCCCCCCCTTTGCAGAGTTATTTCCTCTGCAGTGTTTACAGCCTGTCTTTAGAACATGATGCAAAAGCCAGACACAGTAATCCCACTGAGGTCTCACCAGCGTTGAGTATACCAGAATAATTTGCTTTGTTACCTCAACCATGACCTTCCTGCGAATATTTTCCCAAAACATTATTTCACTCTTTTATGACACTATTGCATTATTGGCCTATATTTCTCTTTCCATCCAGAAGTAGCTCTGGATTCCTTCTGCTGCATAACTGACAGGTGGTCATTCTTCATTCTGCTTTTGTGTATGTGATTTCTGCTTCATAATGTTGTTTCCCCAGCTTTATTACACTGGATTTATCGTGCTGATTGTGGACCATGATTTCAATTTGTAAAGACAGGTCATGTCCTTCACAGTACTTGCCCTCTCTACCAGCTTGTTCTTACTCATAAATTCTGTAATCACATTGTCCTTTCTGCTATTCAAGTGCTTAATTACAATATTAAATAGAAATGACCTTAGGACAGACTCTGCTGAAATCTAACTTAAGATTTCCTCTCAGTTTGGAGAAAGCTTTGGTAATACCTTCGAGAGTATTTTTTCACTTTCCCTCTAGACTATTTTCTGTTGTTTGATAGCAATATGGAACAATGTCAAACCTATTTCTAAGAGAAAGACATATTTTACCTCTCACAACCCCTGTGGTCATTAGGACAATTATTTCTGTAGGTGTAGCCACTGACTCTTCTCTTATTCTCAGCTCTTAATAAGAGAG